CAAGATCCCCGACTCTGCCTTCGCCCCCACCGGTGCGGTCCCCGGGGGGTTCCCTGGTTGAGGTGCCCCGCGCGGTCCCCAGAGATCCAACGTATAGAAAAAATCAAGACGGAGGCGTTTTTCGTGGTTTTTGGCCTCTCGGGGCCCTCGCCGGGCCTCGGGGCCGTCAAAAAACGACTCAGGACGAACAACCGGTCCCAGGGAATGATGGGTCGTGACATCCGGGGACCCCGCTTTGAAACAATCACGTCATCGGATCTCTGGGTTCGATCCCCGCCTCCGCCTCCGCCCCTACCGGTGCGGTCCCTGGGAGGTTCGCCGGTTAAGGTGCCCCGCGCGGTCCTTCCGTCTCCCCCTGGTTGGTTGTCCCGGCGGTGGTGATCGCCTCCACCCCCACCGGTGCGGTCCCCGGGAGGTTCCCCAGTTGAGGTGCCCTTCGCGGTCCTTTCGTCTCCCCCTGGTTGGTTGTCCCGGCGGTAATTAGTGGTCGCCTCCGCCCCTACCGGTGCGGTCCCAGGGAGGTTCCCCGGTTGAGGTGCCCCGCGCGGTCCTTGCGTCTCCCTCTGGTTGGTTGTCCTGGCGGTGGTGGTTGGCGGCGGCGTCGGCGGCCCTCCATCTCCCTTTCCCTCCGCCGGCGGGTTCCAGGCCAGGCGTTTCTTTCGCGCTTCTGGTCGTTGTTTCGCCCTCCTTGCGCGTTGAAGATTCACTGCGGCGAGGGTGCCCCAGAGCCATGGGACGAGGCGAAGAGAGTGCAGTGCCGCCTCGTGGAGAACACGGGAAGCCCGACCACGTTTAAGTCGGGCGCGTCCATCTACAGGAGGAATATTAAAGAATTTTTCAAAATAAATCGTCAGGGGACGATTTGTCAAAAATTTTGGCCACTTCGGAATATTTCCCAACCATCCTGTGGTGTTGGGTCCTCGTTTTAAAGAGACAGCGCCCCGCGACACCTCACCTCGCCTCCTGCTGCCCCCTCCGCCTTTTCCCTCCTCCCACGCCCCATTGTGGTACATCCCTCACACGGTTCGTGGCCCCATAGGGAGCTCCACCGAAGGCCCCAGCGGGAGCGTCCGCATGGTACCGCCGCCCAATTTTGGCACACCCCTCACATGGTTCGTGGCCCCAGAGGGAGCTCCACCGCAGGCCCCAGCGGGAGCGTCCGCACGGAACCGCCGCCCCATTTCGGCACACCCCTCGCACGGTTCGTGGCACCATAGGGAGTTCCACCGAAGGTTCCAGCGTGAGCGTCCGCATGGCACCACCGCTTCATTTTGGCACACCGCTTGCACGGTTCGTGGCCCCATAGGGAGCTCCACCGAAGGCCCAAGCGGGAGCGTTCGCATGGCACCGCCGCCCCATTTTGGCACACCCCTTCACGCGGCTCGTGGCCCATAGGGAGCTCCGCCGAAGGCCCCAGCGGGAGCGTCCGCACGGCACCGCCGCCCTATCTTGGCACACCCTTCACACGGTTCGTGGCCCCATAGGGAGCTCCGCCGAAGGCCCCAGCGGGAGCGCCCGCACGGCACCGCCTCCTCATTTTGGCACCCCTTTCACACGGTTGGTGGCCCCACAGGGAGTTCTGCCGAAGGCCCCTGAGGGAGCGTTTGTACGGAACCGCCGCCCCGTTTCGGCACACCTTTCACACGGTTGGTGGCCCCATATGGAGTTCCGCCGAAGGCCCCAGCGGGAGCGCCCGCATGGCATCGCCGCGCCATTTCGGCACGCCCTTCACACGGTTCGTGGCCTCAGAAGGGAGTTCCGCCGAAGGCCCCAGCGGGAGCGTCCGTATGGCACCGCCGCCCCATTTTGGCGCGCCTTTTACACGTTTCGTGGCCCCCAGAGGGAGCTCCACCGAAGGCGTCAGTGGGGGCGTCCGCATGGCACCGCTGCCCCATTGGAGCGCACCCCTCACACGGTTCGTGGCCCCAGAGGGAGCTCCACCGAAGGCCCCAGCGGGAGCGTCCGCACGGAACCGCCGCCCCATTTCGGCACACCCCTCGCACGGTTCGTGGCACCATAAGGAGTTCCACCGAAGGTTCCAGCGTGAGCGTCCGCATGGCACCGCCGCTTCATGTTGGCACACCGCTCGCACGGTTCGTGGCCCCATCGGGAGCTCCACCGAAGGCCCCAGCGGGTTCCGTAGCCAGTTTGGCTCAAGACCCAATGCTTGGGGGGCTGCAAGCCTCCAGGCGCAAACGGGATAGCTCTGTTCCCCGAGCTTGCAATCCAACCTCTTGTGGTGCCAGGTCCGCCCCTGGTCACCACCTGCCTCCCTCGGCCCGGGGGTGCGTAGTCTTTTTCCTCGGCCTGGTTGCCTGGGCTGTCGTGCTCTCATGGCGAAGTGCTGGCAGTGCGTGCGGTGCGGTGGCTATGCCCCGCAGCACCTTTCGCTCTGTATCAGGGCTGGCTGCAAGGGCAAGCGCACGGACCGCAACGTTCCCGCTGCGAGCGACGCCGACATCAAGCCACGTGGCAAGTGGGCTGTCGGAGGAGGAGGAGA